TCACGCACCAAAACACCCACCACATTCTGGCCGACCTTGGTTCCTTTTCAAGAAACAGTGTGGCACACCTGGAGGATTGTTGCGATTGCACCTACGGATTCACCCAGACGCTTACTCGAGGTGTCATTCAGGCAAGCGGAAAAGAATGCGTGGCTCCGTGCAGGCACAGTCCACCCTTCTGTTATGACTTGGTGGTTGTAGTGCAACTCTATATCGGTCCCCTGGCTTCCTGCTCCGCCCAATATGGTATATTCAAAGGCACGATAGCTTTACTCGAACCTTTATGAGGTAGTCACAGTGTTCCACAAGGTCGTGCCAGAATATCCGTGAGGAGGCGAGAAGCGTCGAGTCAGTGTGCTTGGCTCGGATTGGCTAGCATTCTGATCAATCAGGACATGCCTCCGTTTGACCCGTGTCCTGCACGTGACACGTCCGTCCAAACGATGTGGTGTTCGGTTATTAGTGACAGCTGGCCTTCTTACACTTTCGCAAGAAACGTTCAGCGTGAATTACGCGAAACGTCAACTCTGCTAGGCGGAATGGCGCATCAATCGCGCTTTGCCGCACACAGTTCGGCGATATTATTTAGGTCAAGAAACCTATCCCGCACGCGACTGGCCAGAATAGCTGACCGCTTGCTGCTCCAAAATCAAGGGGAGGTTTAATTGGTCGATCAGATTCCAGTCAGATCCCAATGTGACATGCGGAAGGCGCTTTATAAACGACGCGCGCTACATGAGTGTGGAAACTGAGAACTAAGCTGGAAAAATGCCGCTATTACGAACACAAAGTGAACGTTTTTTTGTTATGGCTCGTTGTTTGCATCTCCCACTCAGACGTGATTCGCTCATTCAACTGCTATTCTCGGCAAACTGGCAAACACAAGGCCACGGGACACAGCCCCGTGCCTCAGGTACCTACCGATTCAACAAAGTACTAAACCAGGCTGTTCTTTGGGCTTATCTACGACGGAAACTCCATGGAATATGTTTAGGGTGTTGAGTTTGGCGTCAGAACTATGGGAGTGTGGGGAACCCACAAACAGCAAGGTTCATGCAAGCCAAGTTCGCATGAAGGCTGCTCAATGATTTTGTGCGGGCGTGCAGTGCAATTTTACATGGTACGACCAACTTTTTGGCATTCTGTTATTAACGCCGATCTCTATCACTCACGCGCACTGTTTCAGTTTAGTTGATTGCAGGATTCGGCACTATAATTTTCCCCAAGCAAAAATGGCAGTTTACGCCTGCGTTTGGAGTCCAACAGAGGCTCGCCTGCAAGACCCATGAGCTTGCCACACTATACACAACATCAAGTGGTCCTGTGAACTTGCAGGCATTTACCTGCCGTTCTGTGTCCCTGATATCGGACAGATACCTCCGATTCATCGAACAGTACGTAGATCCTAGTGTTTACCAGTCAGTTAATTGGGTTACGGGGTAACTGCTTACTATTCCACGCATAGTTTTGCTTTTGCCAGTGAGAATCACGTGGGAAGCATCGATTTTCGTGGCTACAAACACTGCGCGGAAACGAATCAAACCCAGTCGAACATAACCGTCCTGTGATACCTTATACGCATCTCTGTGTGCTCTTTGTGAATAGTCACAATCCGCGTTCGACGGTGACCAAACCCGAGTCAGATATTTCGTTTCGCCCAGAATGATGTACTCATCTGAGTTGTCAAGACTCACCTGGTGTCATTCTTTCAATACAACAGGCTAGTTTGTGGTTGTTAGGAGCACTGATTAGTTCTGATAATATGCCATGAATTTTTCAACTACAAATCTGTCACTCTGACTGTTGCATCGTGAAGATGTTTTGCTGTCATGCTTTGCTCTGTGTGAGTACTCGACTCGTCTTCTTTTTCTCGATTGCCGCTTCGAAGAAAAGGGTTTTCTTGTGTGAAGGATTTTGTGCGTCTTTGTTTTTACATTTGATAGTGTGTAGGTTCGGTCACACACGCGAAAATTGCGGTCGCGTGGAACTTTCAATTTCGCGTTTCATAAAACCAGCTGTTCAGTGACCAATCATGACAGGGGCGTGTAAGCCGTGAAACCTTTGGACGGGTAATGAAACTTTTTGCTCCAAAATGTTGCATTTTGTTGCATGTGTGCTGGAACCAAAAACCATACTAATCTAAACTCATATTTTCGCGGCTCACCGAACTTCATTGTCCATGGAAGCGATCGCACATCTGGCGGGAAAAGCCTGGTGGAATACTTTCCCAGCACCACTGAGACCCCGGGATGCCTAGATGGGGCTCAAACGTTTGGAATCGCACTTTGAATTCAGTCACTTGTGTGCTCTGGCCAATCAGGCCCACGTCATAGCCTTCGGAAATTCACTTCCACTGTGCGATTACTGAGCGCCATCATGACACGCTTATTTTAATTCGCACGCACCTTCGAGTCAGTGGGGCCATCCACAAGTTGCCACAGGTTAACAGCCCATGGGATACCGAGGTGTTTATCGATGTCCCAATACTTCCTAGCTGTGTTTATTGAATCAGACAGACCATTGAGGGTTATAATGTGTTGAAACCGAGTTCCTCAGTCAGGCTAATATGCCTGATACTTTTTAAGTCATTAGTCTGCATTGTTTCATTAAGATATCGTAGCAATGAACACCAGGAAGCAAATTGCAAAACCGATCGCCCCGATAGCTTTAGAAAATTTACACCAAATCTTTGTCGCTGAAAGTCAATATGGTTGCCTGCGAATGCCGGTTCACCCTTGAGCAGCCAACCTACTTCTCTAATCGACCCAGCAAACTGGGTGGATGTTAGTTACGTCGTCTCTCATAGTCCGGTTTTCGGCTTTGTGATGATGCTCCATCAAAGTTTATCACTGAGATTTCGCCAAATTTATGCCTTGAATGGGTAATAAATTACATGTGAGATCAGAGAACTCTCCCGCTCATGTATTAATCGTGATGGTAACAAAATAATACTGACAACTAAGTCTCCCCTATGAAGGGAACTACCCGCAAGGCTGCTGAAAACTCTTCGACATCCCACAACCGGTTTCGCCCTTCTTGGGACTCATCAGTTTTAGAATATCATAAACGAGAGATTCAGTTGAGTCTCTGGTAAAAACCTGACAATATCCCAGTCCTCGTGCTTCCTACGGGTGGCATGGCAGCTAGGCCCCGAAAGGGCGCTAGAGCTAAACGATTATTATTATTATATTTTAAAAACCAAATTGATTTGCAAATGAGTGGATTTCTCGAAAACGTCTCTCTCTAGTTTGGGGACAACCAAAATTATCTTGGGTTAAAGTTTGAAAACTCAGTGGATGTGGGATAACTGGGCGATGTCAACAAATAGCTAAGAAACGATTCTTTCCAATTTACATGCACCATCAAATAGAGTTGCTATATGACTCACCTTCAGGATAAACATACTTGCCCCAGTTGCCCTCGTAAGTGCAGCCGGATTCCGGTTCATTTATTTCATAAACGTAGAAAATGTAGTCTGTCTTAGGGCCATCAGGTAAGTTCCCTTGATCCAACAGGATTAGTTCATATATGCCCAGGTCCCGACCGTCCACCGGCACATCAGATTTGTCCGCGAGTGAGCACTGCTGAACAGTCAGCACACCACTGTTGAAAGTTTTACCGACGAACTAGGAGAGAAAAACAGGCTTGTGATTTTATTGTAGTTCACAATAAGTCAGAAAAACACGTAAGTCGGACACGGGCGTATGGAGTACACGCGGCCAAACTGGTCGGTTTTCGTGGCAAGTAAGCATACAACTGAGTCACATATCCAGTCAACCCACAGCGCTCACGCGAGCCAATCGATCGGACACGCATCCAATCAGCAGCTACTCAAGTCACACGCCAGATCGATAGTTGAATGACGAACGGACACGCACACGCGCAAACTCTGACACACTGAACGGCTACTACAGGTTTTACATTCACCAACTGAGATTTCTATGAAAACGTTTCCCGAAAAACAGCACGGCTCATTTTGATCAGGTCATATTCATACCCACAAACTGTAGAACTAAGGTTTTTCTGTTTTTTTTTTCGCTAAGATAATTATGTAATTTGAAATGCGCTTACATGATCGCAAAGTCCTTCCTGAACCGGTGTCACGAGAAGCAGCTCTACAATGGAAAGCAAGTAAAATATTTGGTTATATTGTATTCGTTTTTCGAGTGTTGACACAACTGCCTATACTCATGACACATATATTACATACATGTATATACATAGCAGTTATATGTAGACCCGTATGCTTCCGTGTACATCCTATATGCAGAGCGCAGCGCCGCTGAACACTTAGAGTCGTATCCATTCATTGAACATGCAACTGTTCGCCCTCGCGGCAGTTGTGGGAATTGATTTCTGCAGTATTGGAATCATTCTCTTCATGAAGGCGTGTTAGTAATTGTATTTGGGCATAAAAGGGAGAGCTTTGATTCAACCAAACTACCTGGGACCATATGCAGCATGAACTTTGTCAATACTCATTCGCAACTCAATTTGGTTTTCACGGGAGACTCAATTGAATCTCTCGTTTATGATATCCCCCAGCTGAATGCGCTGCACACAGGCTGCTCATGATTCATGAACAGCTTCTGGGGCCATCAACTTAGTGGAAAATCCATCTGTTGTGGGTAGCCAGGCGTTCCCAGTAAAATTCATCATCCTACATTCCCGTCGGCAAGGGCTCTTTGTCGTTTGCAGTGCTGCGTTACAAGCACTGGTACTAGTTGCCTACTCGGTTAGTAGGTAAACTGTTGTGGAAATAAATTGGCCAGTCAGTTCAAGACTTCGAAGTTCATATTCGATCGGGCAGAGTTCAACCATTTCGAAGTAGGAAATGTGTGAATTGAAGCGCAAATCTACTAGTATTTATCGTAACCAGCAAGTTAAGCAATCGCGGAACAATTTTATTTCGGTTGTTGGCCCTGAAAAAATAAACATTTTATTGATTTTCTCCTAGATTAGATGCGGCATGGAAACGAGAGGCAAAGACACCTTTATTGATGCAGGATTGCCACAGCGTGAAAGATTTCCACAAAAAACTGTTCCTACTTCGAATGGGAGACTCGCGTTGTTCTTTGATAAACAGCAAGTAAATGGAAGCTCATGGTTGAAGTCAAGGTTATGGGTGAATAATTACAAATAATCCTACCGAAGTTAACCGCATATTAGGAGTGTTTTGAATATTGTCGTATACCAACTGCAAACTGAGAAGTTTTATTTAGCCAACCGGTTTAGTTAGGCTGCCGCAAGTCCTTGACCACATGTCTACATACAAAACACGGATCGAGCTGTTAGATTCTTGATGGTATTTTATTTTGCGACCAGTTGGTCATACAGGCTGAATAACAGGTATTGGATGGACTAGGGCGTTTTTTTCTCTCGAAATTTTCCCGGATCGTTGTCCTCTGGTACCCACCGGGAACACACGACCCTCGCGTACGAATCCTGAAATGGTGTTTTGACCGTCCAGTGTATGTGTGTGTGTGTGTATGGATCAAGCGATGCTTTCTTACTTCGCTGTACGTCATATCATACGACCGTTCATCCATATCACAGCACTAGCCATTTCTGCCAGTGAAATTTGGGTTCTGGCCACTGAAAACGATGCATGCACATTGAACATCAGCCCGTCAACATGAGAGCCCAGCATTGCAACGTCGTCTAGCCACTCGTGTCTGCATGGGTGCGCGTGGGTTCCTTTTTGGGGCCCAGTTTAAACTCTCGTTGGGTACCGTGACAACCGATACCGCGTCGGGCAGAGAGAACGCGGGGAAACGCGCCAAGTGTTCCGTTTCGCAATGTTTAGAGACGTCGTTTAAAGACAGAAGCCACTTAAAGACAGGGCCACTTGTGTCATTCGAACTGCCAACAGTGGACAACATTACACTGTCCAGCTGTAGCACCCTTTCGGTGCCTAACTGCCATGCTACCCGAAGTTTGCACGAGGGCTAAGATACTGCTAGGTTGCCCAAGCTTAGACAGGGGAAGTCGAGAGGCAGAGTTCGGGTTCGAACCACGGACCTTTCTGTCCGTAAATTCGCGATCTAACCACTTGGGCCATCTCGCCCTCGGACAACATTACAAGCCTTGTTTTTATTCAGTTTTGGGTGCATGTCGGGTAAGTGGAAACATGGTTCACCTATCCCAGGCCGATAATCCGAAGCAAAGCTGGGGCAGGACTGAAAGAACCCGACCTAATGGCCCACGTAACGAAACCTGTGAAGACGGGTAAGGCCGACCTTAGTGACCTACGAAGCAAACCAGGCATTTGAAGATAGAAACGAAATGAGCGGGTTGTGGTACCAACTGGCATCATATAATAGAAAACTAATTTGAAATTTTGGGAAACGGCAGGCAGGCCTTCAGTGCAGGGCAATATTAAAGCTTGTTACGGATGACATCCGCTGTTAATTACGTGACGTAATTGTTTGTTTCCCTATTCCTCAGGCTAGTTCATCACCTTTCCGTGACTGCTCAAGTTTCAAGACTGAATCGTTCCATTTCATACAAAGTTGACTTTACCTCAACCGTTTTCTCTAGACAATTTGCTTACATTTATCCATGGACTTGTTGTTGAAATTTTGTCCCATTTTTAACTGAACAACAATTTTCCCGCTTAATTTGTCCGATAGCACGCTGCCCTCCGTGTGCCATCCTGTGTTGCTAACTGCCCAAGGTTCAATCTACCCGTAAGCCTTTCTTTTATTCCCCTCATGATTTATTGTTAATTTCTTACAGAACCATGTTTACCTATCTATACAGCCTGCCCACATTCAATTCAATATATTGTTCACTGCCCAAATGCGACTACTGAAGAAACACAAGTGAGGTTCGTAGAATTCGGCTTCACCGCAATTACTACTGACCGTCCGTCGGTGAATAAGGCTACACGTTACCTGTCAGATAGGGCACCTAGATCGTGCGTTTAGGCTAAGTAACCAATTCCTTGATTTGAGATCACGGCCTTAGCACAGGATCGCACATCCACGGTTTGGCAGTGCTTTTGGCAGCACTGTTCGATTACCTCTAACGGATTGAGCTTACACGTTGGAAGCTGTAACTTACAAGAGAAGATGGAGTCAATGGAAACTGAACCACTAAAATGTACTACCTGCGAGGTACGCAAATGGGGCTGAAGGTAGACAAGCATTCTATTGGATAGAATGAAACTTTGACAGTGACGCCGTTCGCACGGACCTGCAAAGGCGACAACGTTTATTGATGCAATCTAGTTGGCGTACCCCATTGATTTTGGTCGTATGGGGGACTCCCGGAAGACAGGTCAAACAATCAGGTAGAGATTTGGTTGATCGGATTACATAACTTGAGCTTGAACACTTTTGCCCGTTCAGACTTGATAATTAGAGGCATTTAGCGTACACTGTTGGAGAGGTTGTAACACGTCTAACGAACTTTGAACGTCTGGATTTCAGAACCCATGGGTATGCTCTGCTGATTAGCCTTGATAAGAATGAAAGTTGAGTATGATTCTTCCATCTTTTGGTGTCGTCCCATCTGACCGAGCGTGCCTGTCCACATGAGAGTGAATCCATTGATATTGTGGAAATAAGAGTCACGCACGACAAAAAAACTGCGATCGGGGAATGCGAGGATTGCTCAGTCTGATTCGTAGAACGTAAGTAAAAAGGACTTTTCTGTGATAACTCCCTGTGCAGTTGGTGACTGAAGGTAGGTTATACGGTGTGTCCCCAGGCTCCTGTCTGTCTATCCTGTTGAAGTTGCTTCTTTTGTGGGATTCAACAAACCGTGTTTCTAGGCTTGTGGGCTACAAGAAAGCATACATTTAAAGAAGTTGCTTCTTTTGTGGGATTCAACAAACCGTGTTTCTAGGCTTGTGGGCTACAAGAAAAGCATACATTTAAAATGTTTTTTTACAAAAGACTTATCAAGAGATGCTTCATGGTGGGCAAGTCGGACTGTCCAGGAAATGAGAGTAGAATTCACAGGTTTCGGGCTATCGGTGAAGGATGCCGAAGCCATGATAACCGTTCTAAACGGGCATACATCATTCTCGTTTCATGCTACCTAATTCACCCATACGTGGCACACAAAGATAGATCAAAATGAACTGAACTGCACTCATTAAAGTCATCGTCAACTGGACCTTCTCCATCGGCCACGAGGCACCTTGTCCTTCCGGTGTTGACTTGCCGATTTATATACCATATGAAGAAGTAGCCAGACAAACCATCTTTGTATTCTTGTGGAAGCACATCGAAGTTCCAGTCCATGTAGAACGTTAAGTTACTGTAATCAGACGAGTAATCGTATGTGCAGTTGGATAGCAAACCACTCTCCCAAGCCTCGGGCGATCGACTTTGTAACTGGGATGTGAGAAATAAAATGATGCAAATAGATCAGATCAGATCAGATCTGCACTCGAGATCTCTGTTTGCATTACTGAAAATGAAGTCAGATTGCTGAAGACAATCTCAGAATACCCAAACTCTTCTGAGATCCTCATACTTCACTAAAGGCCAATCAGATACCTCGGGTCAAGGTCAAAGTGTCCTTTAAAACAGCGCGGACCCGTTTTTTGTCTATCACACTCGCTTGTTTGCAATAAATCTGTTGCGTTCCTTGTTGGTGATTCTGCTTATAGGATCGGAGACAAAAGTCAGCTACAACAGACTGAAGACGGGGATGTGTATGGATCAGATCAGGTTGATGTGCCAAGTGGTCCCAATACAGAACAATATGGATGCGTAATTTGGGAAAACGCATTGAATTTCAGTAACCATGGTTAGTACTTTGATGGGCTTAGAATGGAATCCTCGCTGGCATACCAAATCAGTTCATCATCATCATCATCATCATCATCATCATCATCATCATCAACATCATCATTTATCATCATCATCATTAACTTTGACGGGATCATGCCGGTAACGAGCACTGTCAATCATATCCGTCACCGGCTAGTCGCGGTTGGGTAAACTCGGGTTCCTGACAAAATTCCGCAGAGTTCTCTGTAAATGCGAAAGCTGGTTCGTTCGCTGGAAATTCGACGTCTCCACAATTTCAGGAAAGATTCACCAGAACCGCGTGCCACATTTGAGCAACCAAACGGTAAATCTGTATGATGAGGCGTACGAGACCCGAGAAGCCGCGCCGGTGACCTAAAAACCCTTGGGACCGGGACAATTTAGGAAAAAAACTTGTTCTAATGTAATATTAGCATATTGGAAACGTCAAGGGGGTGAATTTCTATGCAGCAGGTAAACTTGGGTAACCCAGATTTATTGATTGTTGGTCGGGTGGGTGTTGATCTGTTCGCCGAGCCTGGCGGTTGACTTCCAAGGGTTTCGTCAACATGTGGGGAGACATCATCAGTTCGCAACTGGGTGCGTGCCCCCTGTCTGACTGCATCCGTCTATATACCATTAACGTGTTAAGTGTTATCTCTCAACGTGATTGGCTAGTTAGGTTTTGGTGTTTCTCTTGAATTCTTTTGTCAGTTCGTCATCTTCTTGGGATTGTGGTCCGCGTTTATTTGAGAAGGTTGGTTAACCCTACATCTTCTATTTTTGGCAGCTTATTCCCCCCCCCCCAAATAGTAAGTCCCCTTCTCGCTCTGCATGGTGTTGTGGTCTGATCTCCTTGGGATTTACTAGTTGGCTGTACCTCCCTATTATCTCCATTGTGTTGACTGATGTCTCTGCATTCACCGGTAATTTTGGTACTTTGGTTCATTGACCGGGCGGCACTTTCAACCAGATTTTGTGCCCCTTTGAATCGGGCCCTCCTGCTTCTTTTGTGAGTTTCCTGTCTAATCACATCTCGAAGCTCTGTGATTCTGGTGTTCTCTGGCACCTAGTGGTTATGAAGAAAATCACTTTAGATATGTTTGTTGATAGCTTATTCGGTAAGTAGGCGAGATGTCCCAAGTGGATACAGCGCGAATTTACTGATCGGAAGGTCAGTGGTTTGATCCCGACCCCTGCCTCACGACTTCTCCTGTCAACCTGGCAGTGTACCAGTCCTCGTGCAACCTTCGGGGGGCATGGCAGTAGGGCGCCGAAAGGGCGCTACACCGAATGCCCCAATGTCTTCTGTGGAGTACCACGCTTCCATAAATCCACATTCTTCCTCCAGTCTTGCTGCAGCTATTATAGGAGGGCCACTTTAGTCGAACTCGTGTCCCTTGCGATCTTTGTAGCGGGCTTGTGTTCGTGTAGTCTTGTGGGAAGCTGCCTTTCCGTTTGTCCCATAGATTGATTGTCACATTCCTTGCATTGGATACTGTATACAACTTTCTTCTTCATCACTGGATTTAATTTTCCTTCTAGTTCCGACTGCCGGGAAGTGTTCGTGATTTTGGAAGCAAAAGCTAAAGCCTTGCCGTTGTTTTTGCAGTGTTCTTGATGTCTGAGATTATGACCAATTTGCTTCGATTTTGTGCTATTGTACCAGCCCTAATTAGCTTCCTGAGTGACCTCCTTGTGAAGTTTCTTGAGGATTCATTTGTGATGCTGTCTTCACAAATGATGACAAAATGTTTGCAAAGCTGTTTACCAAGCTCGGCGAACAAATTAACCCGAGCGGCCAATGTTTAGATACAAAACCGGTGCTATTTTCCAGCACCAGTACTTCCTAAGGCATCGCGGCCTCAACAAACACAGAGGATAAAGCCTTTCAACTTACGAATACCTGGTCTGCTATAAATAGGCATGTTCTCTACCACTGACCCACACGCTTAGTTAACCTCATTTTAATATTGACAGCATGCGATGCCTTTCCAGTTTATCAACGGAAACTTCCTGACGAAACTCCCTGATGGATTGGCTGGTAAGTCGTCAGAATGTCACTTTTGCAATGGAACTAAAATCTAGAGACGAGATAAAGCCTTACAATTTGCTATTAATACGATTCACATTGCAATTCCTTCTGCCCTCAATATGTGGGGGGGGGGGTGTTGTGAGATGTCCGCGTGTCATTCTGCTAAAGTTTATCTCAGTGATGCAAACCCACCGGCACATAGCAAGCCGAATGTCAGAGGCTAGAGACTATGCAGTCATGTAATCATGTTATACTGTTTATTAATTAGGATTCATTTTCCTGCTGGCGGTCAAAGGCAATCAACTCAATAGATTACAACTCATGACTTAGCAGATGAACGTGCTCCCATTTTGCGCAAAGAAAACCGACAGTCCTGTTCAGATGTGTTTCAGCTGGTACCCGAGGGAGAAGGCTGAGGTTTCCGCATGCCTGGTATGGTGAAAGGAAGAAGGCCTTCGCTGCGGAGTTATTATTAAAGTGTCAACTGAGCAGTTACAGACTATTGGACAGGTAAGCAAACTCTCATATGCATCTTGTTTACAAAAACTGAACATCCATCTTCTCCTTGAACGCGCCTTCCTAACTTTTCCTTGCTATTCACTGACTGGTGCTCAAATCCAAACAAATGCTACAAAGAGGCTACACAAATTCCGTAATAGATCTCACTTTTCAAGAGACGCAAAGCGGATTTACGGGAAAACCACATACTACTCGCATGCCTCCTCATCAGTAGTAATCGAACGAAACTAAAAACCTGAATACAACTAATTACTCCGATTAAGCATATTGAATGTAAGTTGAATAAATTGCAGTGAACGAGGTGCACAAAAGCAAAATCACTTACTGTATCACATGGAGATTTATCGTTTTGGGGAGCGTATTCACCCAAGCGGGTCACAATAAATCCTGTTGGTGAGAAACCCGTTTGTTACAGATTAAACTTCGGCTACTTTTGGGGGAATAATTTTTGGCTCGATGGCACCACCAGCCGGTTTGTAAGACTGTACAACTGAGCATGAACTCGGAAAGCACATTAAGATTTATGACGAAATGAGGGCAAATGTTTTACTGAAAATATTTCAGTATATATGAAGTTCCTTTGGAAGAAATCCCTTCACAGTTGATGTGCTATGTAGCGCCCCTTGTCGTGAGAGATAAACTGCGTACTTTTTGGGTTCCATCTACATGAAGTCTGAAAGCATTGCGCTAATTTTTTAAGTGCCCTCGCGGCGGTTGTTAGTCTCCAGTACTTTCAGTACTGGAAAGTTTCAGTACTTTCGTTACCCAGAACGGTTTTTCCAAGTTCCACTGTTTTAGTGCAGAAATTGGTATGTATATAATTGGTACATAACGGTGCCAAAACCCACCACCAGGTTGAAACGTTTTACTGAATGATGCATCGCCAACACACCTTTTCCAAACTTCTTCGCACGCTGGAGAATTGTTTTACTGGTAAAAATGTTTACCCCTTTCTAAGACGATGATCTTGATGAGGTTAACGGAAACTCCTGAACAGAGACCTCAACGGGCTTCGAGATATACTGCTTTCTTTTAAGTAGTCTCATTTCGCACCTTACAACCAACCGGAGCACATGTGCAGATAAATTGTGAGCCAAGGAATGGTCTGAATTCAGAATGATAACGCGGTTCATTGCTTGTGACGTGTCCGGGAATATTCTTTGAAATGGACAACATCAAGAAACTTATTTCGATTTCTTGAATAGCGTACTGGCTGACGGCTTTTGTCCATCATACTCAACTGGGATTCCTCTGATACCTAGATGGGCCACCGGTCGACACTTACTCTGACAAATACCAGTTAAGTCTTGAAGGGAAACTCAACTGAGGTTCAGCTGAATCTCCTAACATAGCCTCCGATATGACGTTGATCGTGTTCGTTGAAACTAGTTTATTTGCCTAAGGGAGAGAGGAATTCATCTGGGTTCCAGGCGAATCTCCCGTCGAAACCAAATGGGTGTGCCATTGTGAGCTTTTGTTAAAACCTCCCCCGTTGGGGTTCACGTAGAACCCAATCGCTCTGTCCTGCAGTACTCTTTTGGTTGAATGTGGGTCGTTCTTCGGATACCAAAAGTCCGTCGGAAACTACTCCGTGTGATTTGAACCAGGAATAGTGGTGGACTAAACTGACTGGTTTATTTTCGCTCTTTTTTCCGTGATGCTGTTTTGAAGCGCAAATAGTGGAAGCTCGTGTTTCGAACTTTAGCGACAATTTACCATTCATTCGGTTAGTGACTCCGATTTGGTGGTTGAAAACGTGACCACAGAAGAATCATCGTTTTTCCACGACAGACGAAACGGATATCATCAGTTGTGCTGAAAATATCTGCGCTTGCACACCCCACAATCCCAGTAAGTGTGGCCACCAATTTACAAATCTTTTCATCAGAACTTCAATTGCACACACTGCAAAAAGTTCAGATAACCGATTTTTGCGCCCAAATGCCTCCCGTATTTCTTGAAGAATACAAAATATCTTTTCTAATAAAATCGCTTAAAAATTACCTTCTTTTATTTGAAATCTCTGAGCGTTTCAAACGCTCATACGAATGAGCTGAATGAACTTTTGTGGAGATAAAATTCTATTCGGCGTTCAGGCGACATTTTATAGGTCAACAATCAATTTTGTGCCATTTCTTTAAGCCGTTTTGAGGTGCGATACTGAGCGTGACACAACGCTCTACTCTCCAAATGTTGAGCAGACAAAATGAGGTAAATATGGACAACAGTACGTTTACACCAATATGTCCAATTATTCTTGGTGAGCAAGCATTACCGTAACCGCGAAGAACTTACCTATTTGTTCGGTCCGTCCTGAATTGAAGATAAACGAGGGGCAAATTGCGTTAGGGGCTATCCTTGGAGTGTACACCCTTCCGTCAACATCGTTACAATTCAAACATATTACTCCACATTCCACGTTGTTTCCAACTGGGGGGGTTCGACTTGCGTCTGCGGGTCAGCGTGTCTCCGCTGAGAAATCCTATTGTGACCTAACGCTTCCGATACGTTTCTTACTCACCTGATTCTTCTTAATGCAGTGATATCTATGGAGGCACTCCGAAAATAAAAAACTCAGTTTTGATCAAAATTTGGAACACTTTCGAAGTTCCGCAAAGTTGCAGACCGCAATCACCTAAAAAGATGTTTCTAATTCACAAATATGCGGGGTAAGTCGTGGAATATATTTATACTGCTGAGGTCACCAAAACCAGCAGGTAAGTAGTGATGTAGCCCATTTATACCAGCAATGTGGCTAGAACGCCTGCTCGAAGAGATACGTGGAGAATAGACCGATAGCCCTTTCATGGTATCTGTTTCAAGCATCACGCTTAGTGTTACCTGAGTGTGCAGTATTGTCCAGCGTGCGATTATTGATTGGAAACTTTAAATGGGTCTAACTGGTGAAGACCGAGCCACACTGACATGAATTCCCACAGTCACCTACATCTTCGCTATGTTCATTTATTCAAGTCCTTCAAATGGCGAATTTTAGCAGGCATCTACTTTATATCACTCACATCCAGTTGGATGAGCGGTGGGGTTAGGCTAGTCATCTGGATATCTTCCAGCACACCGACTCAAGCAAAAATGAAAAAGGCTCCTGGTTAATGCCTGCTTTGTGTATCGCTGGATGTTTGTTCCAAATTTTCTTTGCATGTCAGGTTTTTGTCGTTTTATCCACTTAAAGTTCGACCGAATGGGGTAGTAATTACTTTTCTCCGGGGAAATATTATTGCGAAGCTCAACATACTGCTGGCGCACAATGACCTTGAGATCACGTAAAACCAGCGGCCTGATTGTTGTCTTTATATTGTCAGGTGGAAAGAAGGGTCTTTCTTCATGAAGGAAACTACTCACAAGTTTGTTGAAAACTCTCGACAGCCA